CCTGTGGCATGTGACGAACGGTCGATGGCTGGTGGCACAAATCAACAATCTATATACATGTATATGATTCCATGTGATTCCTTTTTTTTGGTCTTAATAGAGATCCAAGATTGTTTCATGCTTCAGATCCTGATGCTGTGCGCCTTGTGCTGGTTTCTCACTTTTGTGAGAGTCTCGATTGGAAGGCTGAGCCAAAAAAACTGGCATGGGATGAGGACTGCTAAGTCTAATATGTGCCAGACCTCCTCTAAGAGCACAGACGTCCTTTGTGACTCCAATGGTCATAAGCAGAAGTGACTTTTCCATGCGGTCCCTTCCATTGGGAGGTCAACCTGGATCAACCTTACCAACTCCCGAGAGGGACCATGAGATTTTGCAAGTTTGGCTACACTCCCTGGAGCTCAACTGGTTACGTGCCCCAAAAGGAAGACCCTTTTCCACAAACAGGGGATGAGCTCCACTTCCATGTTAGTTCCAGGGAGTGTAGCTTGAAACATCATGCAACAGAACATGTTTCCATCATGTTTCCAAGTTTTTGTTAGAAGTCATGCTCTCGTTCTTGGAACGCTATCTCTGGAGCTTCCAGAAAAAGAGTAGCCCTCAACAAGGGCAAATCAAATCAAACAAAATCAAAGATAACACATTCACCAGTTGACACCACCAACAATGTGCCAACAACCCTCCCGAAAAAAATTCTTGAGTGGGTGCTACACCAGATGGACCCAGGGAGGGGAACCTCCCCACCCCTCCCGCGCCACGCTGCAAAAGCGACCCGCATGCGCTGTGCAGAACGACTGACTATATAGTCATACGGAACTATATCTGGCATGTCATCCAACAGGAACGGCAACGCAGAACCAGCAGCATGTGTGAGCCTGTGTGTCCTGCCGCACCCAAGGGGGGTTCCTCCTCCGGAGGCCCAAGAACTTCGACCATCTTCGACCCCTTTAGACCAACCACTTCATGCCCAGACACTCCATGCATTTCCCATGCCATTGGGGTTGGAAAATATGGAGGGCTCCAGTCACCCTCACATCCGGTTTCGACCGCGAGGTCGGGACCGGTCGACCCCAAAAGGATGGTCCGAGTTGGCATTTGACACCCATCAACCCCCATTGGAACGTAGTTGTATACCATAAATGAGCATGACATGTCATTGTGGCTGTTCCATGCAGTTTGGGGAACCTGGCAGGATGTATGTTGTGTGTCAACGGTGGGTAAATCAATTGGCACCCTGCTGGCACCAGCACCTGCACCCCTCGCCCCTAAGGTGGTGTCCTGGTGTGCGGCACCTTGGCACCGTGAAACCGAGGGTCGGTTGCGTGTGATCATCCGAGGTGGGTGAAACGGACCGAGGGTCGTTGTCCAAGAACCTGGACCCTCCATTCATGACCTGAAAGAAACAGATTGGACATGATTTATCAGAAAAAGACAGGTGTATACATGTATTCAGAAATGTATACATGTAATGAAATGTAATGAACTGGGCTCCTGACTCGTGGTTTGGATCTCCCGTGCAGTGATGGATTGCCTGGGGTAGACCTGGCAGTCCGAATGCCAAAGCTTCTTCTTTCGAAGGTAAATTATATATGTACCAGCACCTTCAGAGGGGTCACCAATGGAAGCCCCTACACTACATAGGGATCTCCAGTCACCCCTTGAAGGTCCAGATATATGTACACTCATGATGTTGAAATTGAAAGGAAAGCATTCCCAACGGGTTAAACACATCAGAACAGGTGCTCATGGGAAATGACTGATCTGTGTCTAGGACAGGCGGCCCCTAGACCGGCCGAAACGGTCGTTCCGTCGCGTGGTACTCCGGCGGAACGGCCGCCCTTGTCTCGCAACTGGAGCCCGAGCGTACCGTGAGGCAACTGGATCTTGAAATCCACCTTGGCCAACTTTGAAGGGATGGAGGCCCGAACGCATGCCGGTTGCATGACGATGGCCTTGGCCTTGCCCTATCCAGACGGACCAGTCGTGAAACCTTGTCCTTGACCTCATTGAGTACTCTCCGGACCCAGTAAAATGAGGTCCTTGACCTGTAGGGTTGGGTCTTTCGTTTTTGAGGAACCTTTGTAGTATTATCCATCTCATTATTGTATGAACCACCAGCGCACAAGTCACGGATACCTGGATCCATCCGCTTCATCCGCTGCATCCGCTTTCGCAGCGGCTCAGCGGCTCCCGGCTGGTGGATCGATCGAGCCTTTTCGTGGCCGGCGTGTGCCATGGATGAGGAGGACTGTGAGAACAACTCGAAGACTTTCAGGTGAGTATATTAATGTATATTATATTATATAATCTAAAACATAATGAGACATGCTAATGCTTAAAGACAACTATAAACCTACACATCTGAGTCTAGCGTCGGAGGCTTGGTTCCTCCAGGTCGTGCACGGTGGATTCTTTTGACCGAGTAAGATCATGGGACGACGCCTTGCTCAACGCTCCAGCAAGATGTTCCAGGTTTTGGAACCCACCTTCGTCCCAAAAGTTTACAAAAGGAACCTATCGAAGTGAACACTTCCTTTGCAGTACCACCTAGGATAAGTTCATGGGAGTTGAAGTTGAGGTCATAGCGAGAGGCCGGAGTGAAGATCCCCCGAAATGTCACTTCGGAGTACATGGGTTCCAGACACTCCAGACACTCCTTATGATTCCTTCACGGGTTCCATATATAATATATATAAATGTTGTGGTGCTTTCTGGGGTCAATACATCGATATTAGATTCCATGTATATATCCATGAAGTGTTTGGGACCAGAAACTCATCCTCACCTGGGGATCTCTTCACACCCCTTCCGCAGAACACCCCGACCTTCGGCATCCCAGGTGCCTCAGATCCAAACCACTTTCCAACCACCCAGCATCACCCTTCTCACAGATCCGCACATCCAGCCGCCCCTCACATCCACCGAGCCTCACACCACACCTGGCATCGTCTCATCGCATGGCGCCAGGATGAGGGACACCTATATGGCTTCGGTGACCCGACGGCGAAGCGCTCCAAGCTGCAGGAGATTGTTCAGCAACGAGTCCAGGATGTGGCGTTGGCCAAGCAGCAGCTGAGCAGCGACGCCTTGCAGAAGGAGGCGAGGCCGGAGGAGGTAATGTCCACCTCCTAATAATAACCCCCCCTTGATCAAGTGCGGGCCCCAAATAATGTGAAATCCAGGAAAATCCTAGAACATATTGATTTGAATTGGAAAGGAAAGGGCAGGAAAGGAAATTAGAGGAAAGGAAATGAAAGGAAAGGAAAAGGAAATTGAAAGGACAATGAAAGGAAAGGAAAGGACATGAAAGCAGTCAATGTACAGTAAGTAGTGCTGAAGGAATTGTAAAGGGGCTGAACTGAACCTAAATAACCATAGCCCTCAATAAAGCTAAAGGAAACCTAAAGAATTGTAAAGGAAACCACGAAAAGAACCAGCCAGGGATTGTTTAGTATTATTTGAGGTCTGGAATAATTGAAGGTTTGGGCTGCTCATGGGGGGTGATCTTTGTGGGTTGATTTCAAGTTACACATGGCAATGCCCAAACAAGCAATGTTAAAAGGAAAATGCAGCAGCCAAATCAGAAATTCAGAAAGGATGGCCTTCAATAAAGCTAAAGCTTTTCAATCAAAAGGAAATCTAAAGGAATTGTAAAGGAAACCACCAAATAATCAGATTTTAGAATCAGCTGAAAGCTCAGAATCAGCTTGGATGAATCAAGGTCTGGAAGCAGCTGAAAATCAGGGTCCAGAAAAAACTAGTACTGTATTATTTGAGGGCCATTTGGTTTTTGAAAATATTTGGTATTATTCACGGGCCATTTATATATTATTATGAGGTCAACATTCAACATTACGTGGCACGGGACGAGGGGCACGTGGCACGGGTGGGGACCGGGAGATAGAGGAGTCTGACTCGGGAGATTGCTAGTCATAGCATGTGACAGGCCCAATGTATGATTGATGATGATTGGATTGGTCAGCTTGGAGTGTCATGTTTACCTTGAAACTCCTGGGTCATGGTTCATGGGTTGTTCCTTCTTTGTTGGTTGTTTTTGATGATTGGGCATGATGATTTGATGCTTAATTGTTGATTGGACGTGAAGGACATGTGCCAGATTGCTCGTTCACCGCAGTGATCTTCATGCATTCCAGGATCCATGTTCATGTCTTTTTCTTTGCAATACATGGACCTTCAACTGGCTGGTTTTGTCGGGCGGCCATGGCACGACCCGTCGGTCGAACGGATGAACGGTTCTTCTTCGGGTCGACCGCAGTGTCGTTGGCACGTGCGACAGGTGCTGAAGTTTCAGGAGCACTACGGGAAGCCACAGAGTTTAGTCGAGTGCATCAGTGAAGCAGAGACTTGATAAGCACTCGACTCGAGCCAGAGACCAGTAGAGAGGTTGCAACTCCTGGTACTTGTGAAATGTTCTGAATCTGCAGGAAAGCCTGGAGGGAGCTTCCGTCAGAATCACGCAAGTGGGAGGTCATACCCAGCAATGCAAACCAGGAGCTTCAGTTCGTGACCTTTTTGGGAGTCACAATGTGTGTTTGACCTGTGACCTGGGACGTTTCATGACCTCATGTCAGAACACCTGAAGATAGACATCTTTGGCACAGATGACAAGCTGGACATGTGCAGAGATGACAAGCTGGACGGAAACCAGCCGAGTTCGTTTCTTTTGGTGCAGCAGTGTGTGTTGCGTCTAAGCGTTGACGAGGAATATCTTGGGGTACAAGCCCTCGAAATCGGGGTGAATCTGGGTGGGTTTGGGAATGAGGTAGGTAAGGTAGGATGGTTCATGGGCCCACCGCTGTAGCCAAACGCAGGTAGTGTTGTTCCCTGCTACTTTGCCACCGTTTCCATAAACCTGTTGTCTTCATTATGGTGTCAGGAAAAGAAGCCTTGGACTTTGGCGCTGGCGGCAGAGTTTAAGAGGGCTTCACCGTCCAAAGGACAGGTCTTGACTCCGATGGGGATTGGAATGGACACTCCCCCAAGCCCCAGCCCTGTTTGCCCTGCCGGTTTAGATGAAGCGGCGCCTTCGTCCAGCTGAAGTCGTGATTTCGGGTACCTCTTATTTTTGGGTTGGCTGTGGGTCAGCGATGGTAATGATGATTCATGTTTTCCTCTCAGAAAGCATCAATCCACCTCATTCAATGTATTTTTGGGTTGGGGACCTCAATATGAACTGATATACACTTGTGTATATACTTATAAATAATGTATGGAATATATGCACATGTGTGTCTTAATATCTATTGCACATAATATACACTATATACAGTATTATGTCACGTGACGCCTTAACTCCTACAGTATGTGATTTGCACCCAGTATAATATATACATATACATATATTGTTTGTTTGGTTTTATCGTCTTGGGTCTTCTGTCATGATTGCTGTTTGAGGGCCCAGGCAACAATCAACAGCAATACTGTACTACCTTTTTGGCGCACAGATGTAAGCTATTACTCTGGGACAAGCACCATCGTGGGCATTTTAAAGCATTCTAAAGCCTAAAGCCATGAATAACAAGGTTTCCAGCATTGTCTACCAGAATCAAGCAAGAGCCACATGAATCCCATGATTTCTTTGGAACCACAAGCCCGGCGCTTGAATTCCCTTGCTTTAACTGGTCTGACTCCATTCTTCAGCCTCTCCCGCTCCCAAAATGGCAGGCGACATCAATCCAGATTTGGACGCAGCGGAACAAGCTTTGGAATACACCCAGGTCCGCGGGGGTTTTCGGACCGCGGGGCTATCCGGATCTCAGTGGCCCGGCACTGGTGCCTAAATTGCAGCTCTGTTGTGAACCCGACTATTCCGAACTCAGTGACCCACACTGGCACCGGCGACTGTTGCAGGTTGCCAGTTGGCGAATCTGACCATCCCATGCTTTGTGACCCACATTCAGAATGCTGCCCCCTGAAGGGTTGCAGGTCTTTGATGAGCTTGGCCATTCCAGACTCAGTGACCTGGTATTGTTGTTTTTCACTCTTGCAGCTCTTGCAGCCATACCCACTAGATCCCATCAAAGACGGTTTCTTGTTTCATGAGGAAACCACTGAGCGAACCTGGTGTCTACCCCATATACTATAAGTGTTTTGAAATGCAGGAAACCCACGATCTCCCACCTCAGACCTGATAGCCGCTGGTCTCGCATGGTCTCGCTGCCGGTTCATTCACTGTCAATCATGTCAATCCCTAGGGATCCAAGTACCTTCTCAGCAGGTGATTGGAGACACCGCTATGTAGGTTTGGAGGGTCCAAGTACCTTCTGAGAAGGTACTTGGATCCCTAGGGAATTCTAGGGACCCTATATATGCTTCGACTCAGTCGAGCCTTTTGACGCAGTGGATGTGGCAGGGGCGCCCCGACTTCCTCCAAGTTCGGCACCCTGACATGTGAATGTAGGAAGGTTTGTGTTCGCATGGGTCCCTTTGTGTGGGTTTTTGGCCAACTTGGCCAAGAGAGTGAGGTGTCTCGTCTCGGCCCTATCGGTGTTTTGCCTCAAAAAACCTTGTAATTATGATACATGTGGTGCCACTAGAATTGAAGTCCAATTGTACTCTAGAATTCCACTTCGACTATAGTAAGGGCACCACCTTAGTAAAGGAAAAAGACCTCACCTTGCGGTCACCATGGGTACCATGCGTCACCCAGCCAGACCACATGTCTTCTGCATGGGTCAGCGGACGGGGTTTTGCCGTTTATCACTGTCACTTGCTCTGCGCTAACAGCCCATATGACGCTGGTGGAACTCACCACCCAGCCATGACCAATAACGCGATGCATTGGTGTGTCAGGTTACACACCCTATTCTTCTCAAGCAATGTTCCAGTGAGATACCTGCTCTGCGCATGCAGGTGGGCGCCAGCATTCTGTCCGTCTTAACTGAGCCCAAGTGGTTTAAAGGCTCGTTGGAGGACTTGAAGAAGGTCCGTGTGAGGACCCAAGACACTCGGCAATCTGAAGCTTCTTTTTAAACGTGTTTTCCATCCAGCAGTTCCAGATGCAAGTAGCATGGAACATGCGAGCCTTATACCAGGACCCTCACAGATAGCTTCTTCTGTGCCCCTCTCGTTGTCAAGTCACCTCTTAGTCACCAGGCCCGATAATAAATTTAACTATACTTATTATTTATACTATATTGGGTTGGGAATCATGCAAGAGTTCCGTTCCAATACTGTGTTTGGTGTCGTTTATGTTTTTTCTGCTTGGAAGCGATGAACCAGCGGCAGCTAGCCGCCAAGGACTGGGCTAATGAGGCAGGGCAAAGACGACCTGCTTGTCTTCGAAAGGACTTCTTGATCGATGAATATCAAGTCGATGAAGCTCTGGCACATGGTGCTGACACCGTTTTGTTGATGGCTTCCCAGCTGAAATTCGGTAGGGTCGAAGCCCCGGCAGTTTGGACATGCGCAGCCAGGGCATTAGAAATAAGATGAAATAAGTGTCTACCAGCACCTTCCAACAGGTCTCGTTTGGAGGATTGTTAGGCCCTAACAGGTTTCAATTGGTGACCTGTTGGAGGTGCTGGTAGACTCTAGCTTTGAAGTTTTGTTTTTCACATCGAAACAAGTCTTTGGTGGAGTTGACCGTGCCACGGAAAACGTCCACCAACGTTGACCCCCTTGTCGATGGACCCCACCGACGGCGTTCCACATCAGTGACCGGCTGTGCGTCCAACCAACGGGCAGCCATGGGTCCCTGAACTTCCCAAGTGGCGAGTATTGCCCATTTTACAGTGGATTGAGAGTAGATGGCACAATCACCAAAAGGTTGTTGTTATACTTACTCTTCCAAGACCAACCTTTTAACCTTTTGTTAGGATGCTGCATTTTGCTCGCATTTTTTGGGTGTTTCTGAAGCATCGACATTTTTTTGTGTCCATGCCCAACTTGAGTTCCAATGGCTGGCTCCTGCGCCTTGAGCATTTGAAGCCTTTTTTACGGTTGTGATGCTACTACAGGAGCTTGTCAACATCTCATTCTATACAAAGAGGCCCTGGAATAATCTAAATATTTCCATTGTTGACGTTGGTCAGAATCCAAGTTAGTAAGAACTCCACCCTTTGACGCCGGCCGGCCTCGTCACTGCAGCCTGCCAAGAGAGGCAAGCTCAAGAACTTTCCTTGGAAAGCCTAAGCAAGTCATAAGGGTGTTTCAGAAGTCCAAGACTTCAAACTGTTAACAGCATTTGGTGCCATCAGCAGAAAAGGTGCATATACGGTATACCCACACCCATCTCCGCCAAAGACCGCCTAGCGATCATGCCGACGCAGCTGCATGTGCTGGGTTTGGCTGAAAGCTCAGTGTGCGCGGATATGGGAAGCTGAAAATGTTTGGTTGAAGATATTGCTTCGAAAGTTGAAATGCAAGGGTTTTCTTCGATGCCCCATTCATCAGATTTTCACCACGGCTGGAATTGTCGGGACCGATGGCACGGGCATCCTTGGATAGACCAAGCTCGGAACAGAAGACAAGCGCCCGAACAGAGCTCGGGAGGCATTGCAGGATACACATACCAGAATCCATGCCAGAACACTGTCAGAACCTGTAGTCATAGCGCACGCAGAACATATATTTGGCACCATTATTTGGCAGGTCTTTTGTAAAAACAAGCATCGAAACGAGTGTCAGGCAGTATATGGTGGGTCATGTATTATCCATGTATATACATAGAACATGTTGCTTCCAACTGCATGTGAGAAGCGGGATCACTGGAAGCGTTTTTTGCTGCTACGAGTTGTTATAACCTTGAAATTTGGAGAGCGGGACGCTATGCGGGTGTATGTGTGTGTTCCAGTGTTTTGTTAGCTTTTTTTGTTTTTGGACTGTTTCAAGTTGCAATAGGTCTACCATTGGGTATGGTATTGCAATCTGTCCTGGATGCTTCCCACAGAAGTTCGGAGCCTTCTTTTGTTACAACCAGCATTCACCGTTGACCTGCGGTAGCTTGATGCCATTCACCCTTGACCTGTGGCAATGGTAATGCAGATGGCGATGTTCATGCTGAAGGCAAGGGTGATGGTAATGCCATTCACCGACCTGTGGGAGCTTGATGCCATGCACCCTGTGATCTGTGGTAATGAAGATGTTGATGCTATTAACCCTGTGACCTGGGAGGATTGATGCTAATGCTGATGACACTGGGAATGCTGATGGCAATGCGAATGGTACCGGTAGTGGCCATTCACCCTTGCCATGTGCCAATGCTAATGGCAATGGTAATGCTCATGACAATGGTTGAGAATGCCATTCACCCTTTGACCTCTGGGAGTGATCCTCTGGGAGTGATGCACCTTGTGACCTGTGGCAGCTTTGACATGCTTTGACCTGTGGCAATGGGAATTTGAATGGCAATGCTAATTGTAAAAGTGCTGCCAATGCTACTGGTTCTTACGGTGGTCATTTGATGCTAATGGCAATGGAAATGCTGATGGCAATGGTGATGGGATGCAATTCAGCTTGTGAGCTGTGGGAGCTTGATGCCATTCGCCATGCAAATGGGAACGGTAATGCAATCCCTGTGGGAGCTTGATGCTGATGCTTTTGGCGCTGGGAATGCTGATGGCAATGCCGATGCTAATAGCAATGGTCATGCTCATGGCAATGCAAATGGTATTGGTAATGGCCATTCACCCTTTGACATGTGGCAATGCTATTTGGGACCTTCATGCCATTCACCATGCTCATGGGAACTGGAATGCAATTTTCCCTGTGGAACTGTGGGAGCTTGATGCTGGTGGTAATAACAAAGGTAATGCTCATAGCAATGGTAATGGTATACTGGTAATGGCTATTCTCGCTTGACCTGTGGCAATGCTATAGGTGGGACCTTGATGCCACTCACCACAATGCCATTGATGCAGATTCTGATGCTTATGGCACTGGCAATGTGAATGGCACTGCCGATGCTGATGCCAATAGCAACTGTAATGCTGATGGTAATGGCCATTCACCCTTTGATGTGTGGCAATGCTAATGGCAATGGTAATGCTCATGACACTGGTGATGAAATGCCATTCACCCTTTGACCTGTGGGAGCTATGTGCCCTGTGACCTGTGAGAGTGGGAGCTTGATGCTGTTCACCTTTGACCTGTGGCAAGGGGGATCACAATGGCAATGTCAATTCCCGCAGCAATGGCAATGCAAACGGTGATACGCACATGGCAATGGTGATGACAATACCATTCGCCTGGTAAGCTGTGGGACCTTGATGCCAATCACTCTGGGCATGCCAATGGTGATGCTAACAGCAATGATAACGCTAATGCTAATGGGCCGTAATGCTGGCAATGGCCATTCATCCTAGACCTGTGGCAATGCTAATGGCAATGGTGATTGTAATGCCATTCACCCTGTGGGAGGGAGCTTCATGCCATTCACCCTGTGACCTGTGGGAGCTTGATGACCCACAAGTAGTACCGGGGGGTCAGCAACAAGATATTGTAAGGGCAAGCAGAAACCAAAACTTTTTTTTGGCCGACCCCCCCGCAGGTGAACTATGAAGGAAGACCATGAGCAGACAACGCGCACCTACCAGGTCTCGTCCTCAACGTCTGAACACCTTCAACATGCAAAGTCCTTTACCAAGCGTTCTCGAGAACACTGGAAAACACAGAACGTCCTTGTCTGGAAATTTGAGGGGATATGTCTCCGAGTCATTGGTGCGCGCAGACAGGGTCAGTTCTGTCGAGGCCCATCAGCCCAGCCAGCGGCCCACGAGAGGACCAGGGACAGAGTGGCCTGGAGTGGTGCTGAGCTGTTGGGTTGTCGGAGTGTTGAGACGTTGAGTTGGAGGATGCGCTTTTCAATGTTGTAAAGATTGGCCTATACTCTCGCCCGATTGTTTTTGCCGTCGGCCTCAGAAGGTTGGCGTCGATATTGCAAGATTGTCATGGACGTCTGGCTTTAGTATCCAACGAAGCCAGTGTGACCATGTCACGCATGATTTCATCACATAGGACTTGTGGAGTATTCGATGTCACTCTCCCTTTGAACTCTTTTCGAAGATTCCCAAACTCTGCGATCGCCACTGGCGACGACTCGGCGATGTTGAGGGTTCAAGTTTCTCACAAGCACGACAGCATGACTACACAAACTCAGCAGACTAGAACAGTCACAGACACTGACAGCTCGTCACAGACACTACACCACTTGTTACTTGACAGACACACTAAGCCCCTACAATGCCGCGCTCGACGGCCGATGAGGTGAAGGCGAGGGACCGGGTTGTCAAGCGCTTTTGGGGAGGTGGCACCTGGGGGGATGTTGACAAGGTCAACGAAGCCTTGGAAAAGGCCAATTTGCCCCGAATCACCAATTGGGCCAACTACAGGAAGTCCCTCCAGAGAAGAGAGGCCAAGGCCAAAAACAAGGGGGGGAAGAAGGACAAGGCAGCTCAGCCAATTACGGCGGTGCTGCGATCCTTCAGCAGCAACTTGTTCGAGGCAGGTTCGATCATGCTGGCGTGCTACATTATCGCGAGGGTGGCGGTAGCACAGCTGGCATCGATCCAGCCCCTGAAGTTTATCCTTCGGGGTGGCCTCTTGACCTCCAAGCACTTGCGCGAGTTCTTGGCCTTGAGGCTCTTAGAGCCCCTGGCAGTGCGGGGGGACCACGATCGGGTGGCATCGTGGCGGGCCAAGTTCGCAAAACACGAGGGAAAACGGGTGTGTCTGCTGCAGCTGCTGCAGCTAGGACAATACCACCCTGTCTTCCCAGAAGTCGAGTCTTGGCCTGATGTTGGAAACGCAGCACTAGGTAAGGTGCTGTACATCCAAGCTCGTCTTCGGGGCTCTGAACTTCGCACTTGGCTTGACGCAGCCGGGCTAGCCCACAACGACCCTGGTCGCACAGGGTCTATAGTGGACATAGACCGCGAGCACCTGAGACGGACGTGGTCAGCATCTTGGCACCGAAACTACTTGGCAACATTTTGTTTCGCACCAATGCGGCCAATGCCGAGCCTGGTGTAACCTTAGCTTGAGGCCGGCTCATCGGGCCCCTCTGCCCCATTGCTGTTATCAGGCTATAGGGCTGGCGATACGGCCGAGAAGACCACAGAGTCCATTCACTTTTCTTCTCGTGATCCGTACACTGTGGCTAGCCGGTTGCTTGAGGTGTGGGACTCTTGGCCTGCATCCTCTCGTTTCCATACTCTCGTTTCCATACCGCTGCAAGCAGCGTGGGGTTAACCCCGCAAGAGCAGCGTGGCCACACGCTTTCCCTCGTGTTTCCGAAACTTCCCCCGCCGGGACTGAAGGGGCTGCTGGTCTTTGATTGTCACAGGCTTTCATGGCTTCAAGTGACACAAGACCTGCAGCTGCCTGCTTTTCCCTCTGAACCTCACGTTGGCCGTTCC